ATTAACCATAAATTCTATTGTGATAAATATACATTTATTTCATGAGAAGAAGTCATGAGAGTATAAAAGTGATATTTGATATAAATGCCAAATGACACATGAATGATGAATTAAATGGAAATGAACGAACGACTAATATTGAAATACTAGTTTTACTACGCGCGATGCGCGAGAGGAAAATGTTCAATGCTATTCTGAACAGGGCTGGTCCTAGGGGGAGGGCAGTAGGGGCGACCGCTTTAGGCCCAAACATATAGGAGAAAAATTAGGCCCAATTTGTTTTCTTTATTCATAATGTCAACAAATGTTTTTTTTAGTTTTAAATTCAATTAATTAGACCTAATGGTTAATTTATGTTGATGATTTGAAAATGTAAAAAAGCAAAAACTTTTGATCGATTCGCTCAAACAAGTTTACAAAAGAATATACATTTAATTTTAATTTTTAATTAAGTAAAGCTAGTTGTAGATCATCACATTTGTTGTTGAATCAATAAATGCACGACTATTCACATCTTTTTAGCTCTAAGGTTTTTTTATTCCTTTTAATTACAAATTATCAATTTATACTATTCTTTGTCCAACCCGTGCCTCCCAATTTCCAAACCTCATCCCATTTATCCGCGATCGACTATATCTCAAAAAAACTTAATGGTAGCATTGTTTAGCATTGAGCATGAAATCTTGAAAAGATTGATTACTTTTGCCCAACCATGTAATTAAAATATTATTCCGTAATAAAGAAACTTTCATTTTTATTTTATACGTAGTAACTTTTATCAGATAGTTTATTATAATCCTTATTTTTAGAAAATATAATTCTACAGTCAATCTTGAAAATAAGCCCAAGATGGTATATGGTTCATAGGCCCAAAATTGAAGTAGACAAGACCATCCCTGATTCCGGTAGAATTAATCGAATGAAACACTATTGGTTAGCATAATCGATATGTTTAAAATTACGAACACACTTCATACATAATATTTTTTTCACTATCAGAATGAGTTGTTCCAGATGCATAAAATAGAGAAATGAGTTGGTGTAATAATAGTATTTACAGCGTTAATATTACTAAAGGATAGTTTTGCATAAGATATAAGGTAACGTACTAACGTACTGAAAAAAACTAAAACAAAAAAATCAATGAAAATAACTAGTGGAAATCGAAGCACCAAGTGCATGTTATAATACAAATACTAACGCCACATAAGCATGCATGTTGGAATTTGTAAAGTCAATAGTTAACTTTAACGGAGTAAAGAGAAGTAATAGATTTAATGATAGATGGTACAATGAATCAAACAAATTGTACAAGTGTGTATTGCTTTAGTGTTACACCAACATTTTTATCATTCCTAAAAATGCCCTAACCATCATTGATGTTTATAAGTTTTTTAGATTAGTCAGAAATGTTAGTTGAATAATTGATGGAACTAATCCTAAGAAATTGACCTGTAAGGAAGGTGTCCTAAGTAGCCTTAAGAGATGTTTTTGAGGTGAACTTTATGAACAGAGTATAGGACACAAAATTGTTTAGATAATTAAACGACGTGACTAGAGCATGCAGGCTCTAGCACGCAAGTAGCGGTGATTAGAGCAGGGCTCTGGACCGACGAAATTAGCGGTGATTAGAGCAGGGCTCTGGACCGACGTAGGTAGCGGTGATTAGAGCAGGGCTCTGGACCGACGTAGGTAGCGGTGATTAGAGTAGGGCTCTGGACCAACGTAAGTAGCGGTGATTAGAGCAGAGCTCTGGACCAACGTAAGTAGGGGTGATTAGAGCAGGGCTCTGGACCGACGTAAAGGTGACTAGAAGTAGGATTCTATCACGGTGAATCGATATTAAATAAACGGGTTAACTATAATGTAATAATACCCTAAATGACAACTATACTTAGTATAGTTGTCATTGTACTTTTCAAATGCTTCCAAGTACTGACCTTCCCTTCACGGGGGAGGCCACCTCACAGTTTCAGGTAGAACTTGAGGTTGCTACACTGCCCGTCGTTTGGGAAGATTCAAGGAGAGAAGACGTGGTTCGTGCTTCCTCCGTTTTCCTGATTTTAAAACAATATTAATAATGCTCATGGATATTTTACCTACAATAAATTACTCTTGGGCTAGCATGCCCATGTTGATAGCCGAGTGTGGCTTAAGATTTACTGTAGAATACTTCCGCTATTCATTGGTATGAATGTGATGTTGTTATGTATGTTTACTACTGAGTATGGATGGATTATGTTTCTCGAACGCCTTGTATGATTAAGTGAGGTTGACTTGCGGGTGACGTCCCTTGATTTTTACGGCAGTTGTACACGCGCCTAGATTGCGGTCTGGGGCGTGACAATTAAGTGGTATCAGAGTCATCTCAGTTCTAAGCTATGTAATCAACCTCTCACAATAGATTTTACAAAAGGAGTTTTACCGAAAACCATGAGCATTGAATTTTGACATTTATAGAACTATTGTTACCTAAGTTGCAAGGTCTCTAATTGGTAAGACGGTACCCTTACCAATTCGTATGGCGGTGATTTGGGCCAATATGTGTCTATAACGTTTTCCGTCAACTGACATTGATAGGGGTCTAACGACTCATCCAACTTTCTTTCAGAAATAGAGGGAGGTCGAGGACTGTACGTCGATGCACGAATTCGAAAAACAAAGGCCCGTCGTAGTCACAAGATCCTTCTTACGGTCCTCTGGCTTCAATTCGAGTAGAAAACCCTAGTTCGAAATCTCTATATGAGTTTCCAGAGTCGCATCAGGAGTTGGCTATTCAGCAGCACACCGATGGAGAAGAGGAACGCAATGATATCCGTTAATCTTCAACCTGAAGATGGAGCAGTTGTTGGATTCCCCAGACGTAAGATAATTTCCAAGAACGATCTGGACCAATCAGACCTTAAAATCGATAGGTTCAAGCTTCTTCAGGAAGGTGATATTTCTTCTCATATTGTACAACAAATGAACTGGCCAAATGTCTCTAAGACTGAAAGAATGTATTGTCAGTCATTAGATATTACATTGGAAGGATTAAACGTGTTTGATATTCCTAAATGGGAAGGGGTTACTTCTATGAAAAATATTCAAAAAGAATTGGTGAAGTATGTGTCTATGGAGAAGTATGTTTCTGATTCTGACAGCCAGAATCAAGTTATTACGGGTGAAAAGGGGATAAGAGTCCAGGGTGTCAAAGCTCAACTCAAAACTGAACATTCTATGAATTCAGCAGACATATATGATATGATGAATCTAGTATGGTTGGAACTGAGGGCAGAGATTCGATAACCTCATTTTGGTCAAACTATTTCCTTCAACAACTAAATGATGACCGGAGAGTGTCTGCTTTAACTTCTGCAAAGTTATCTTTTATCATAGGATGTTGTGATAATCTAGAGGAGCAGAACCTAAAGCCTTGCAAAGAATATAGGAGTATTATCCTGTCCCTTACAGCTATGGTCAGAAGAATACCAAGGAAAATGAAGGGTTATTCTTTTATCTTCATAGAAGTTTTTGTTTGGAAAACTCGCAAAAAATGCCGCTACATCAATTGGGATTCTAGGCTTCATGATTTCTCCAACCTGAATAACAACATCAAGGATTGGATTTCTTTTAGACAAAGCGGTCTGCCTTCATCGGGCAGGCAACGAGGGAACCAAAGAATTATGGTTGATGTACTTGGTGAAGAAGGAACTGATTTTGTCAGATAAAGCATGTTTGATTGCATTCGTGTGTGCCCTTATGGTACCATTACTCAGTAAATTATGCACTTTTGAAACACTTAACTTAAGACAAGCTGCCAACTTCTCAAATTGGTTCTTTTGTTCTTTGGAATGGCACGTATAACTTCTAAATCAATTGGTATACTTTTCTTCTCACACTTTCTAGTCCTCTTGTGGTCAGTATTAAGTGGCAAACATTGTTGGACTTGCAGTTTAGTTGTTGCCCAGATTCTGCCTATAGTCTTGGAAGAAACATTGTGACTGTTGGCTACCTCTTTAAGTACTCCTCTTCTACAACTTAAAACCTTTGTCAATGAACATGCACTTGATTTAGGTAACAATTCTTCTGCTATTGTCTTTCGTTGTAACTTTTGTGAGTAACACATACTTCTTCACAGGTACAGATCCATTTGAGTTGGGTGTAGGGTTAGCATCTTCTGAATCCATTTCACCAAAACCTTGTTCAGAGATATTATGCTCAATCAACATCATTTCTTCTAGAGCAATGAAATAAGCAGAGTCTTGAAAAGGTGTTGTGGTCATCTCTTCAACAACACGTGCAGAAGAAGGTTGAAAAATAAAGCTGGAGAAGAAGGTTGAAAAATAAAGCTGGAGAAGAAGGCTGCCAAAATAAATCCTAAAAGGGATCTGGAAAAGTAACGTGCAGAGAGAAGAAGGCTGAAAAGAGATTTCTTTATATAGCAATTTTTTTTGGAGGGAAATGTAAAAATTTTCTAAATTGGGCGGCAAGTTGCTGTACGTAGTACTTCCGCAACCATGTACTCCATAATAGAGAGTATGGAGTACCATTAATTTTTTCTCTTTCCTCTTTTAGTCATTCTCTTGTCTCTTTCCTCTATTATTCATTTCTCTTTCTTTTCCTCATCCACAAATCTAATTACCTTTAATAATCTATTCTCTTTCCTACTTTTTCATTTTAACACAATCCACTACACTTTTAAAACAATGTAGCTTGAGGTACACATTTTCATACACACACCTACACACTCATTTTTGTGAAGAGTATTTTTTTGTCTGTATACAGACATAACGTATTTTCATACACACTCATTTTCAAATACGTTATGTCTGTATACAGACAAAAAAATACTCTTCACAAACATGAGTGTGTAGATGTGTGTATGAAAATGTGTATCAATACATTTTTTGATTTTAAAATTACCCCTACTATTTCCTTCTTAATATTTGCAATATTTGTGCCAATGCCCATAATCCCAACTGAGCAGATGGGAATTGGGGCTAGGGTTCAATAACACTGTTTCCCTTTCTCCGGGCGTCAGTTTTCCAGCTCCTATCCCCCTTTTCAGTATTTTCTCTCGAGGAGATGGGGGACGCATACTGGAACCGACAGGCGGCTTTGCATCAATCACCAGGATTACTCAAACGACCTCGTTCCGACTATGGTAGATTATTTATTATTGCTATGTTTATATTATATATATGTTATTACTGAGTGTATTCTTCCTTTCTTTTCTTTTTATGTTTTGGGATTTCAATGCTATGGGGGGTTATTCCATTTGGCTGTGATTTAACTATAAATAGAGACATGTACTTGAACTATGCTATTGCGCATACTAAGTTGAGGGAGGGATTGTTCTAAAAAAAGGTTGAGGGAGGGATTATTGCTAAATGATTTGCTGCTAATTATTTGTGGAGTGAATTAAATATTGTGTAACTGCAAAGGGTTTATTTGTCACTCTACAAATCTATTGCAGACATTGTAAATTCACAAGTAGCAGGTTCTAACACTTTCTCTAAGTAATCTTCATCATTTGTTTAATTACCTCTGCATTTAGCCAATAGTACTAGTGTTATACTCCATAAAAGTCTACCTTGAGTGGAAATGAGGAAAAACGTGAATGATTGAGAACTTGCCAATTTAGGACAGAGACCAACTTTAAAATTTGCAATAACTATAAAGGGAACATGAGACTGCTGGTGGATATTTGATATCACTTAGAAGTTAGAACATTATGGAAGGTTATTTGTGTTTTGTTTCTTTGCAATTGAGCTCCTATTTAGGTTTAGTGCTATTTAAGGCCTTTTCTTTTCAAACCAAAAGTATTGGGTACGGGTACATCTGCCAAAATAGTACTATTGGCTTTCAAGCAGATGCCCTATGACACTATAAAGGAGTGAACATTATACAAAGTGAAGTATAAAGGAAAAATTCTGATCAAGATTAACGCCTCATGTAGTAATGCCAAGTTTCATATTCTTGGCATCTTTATTGTTTAGGATAGCGACATAGCGTATACATATTCAAATTAACTAATACAAGACCTAGTAGTCACTGAGTACTCCCAAGTAATTAGTGATAATCGCTACTCAGCCTTTGAATGAGATTTAAAAACTTAGCAAACAGTTTGAGTCAGTTACATTTCATGTTTGAATTGCATACCACTCTCCATATTCTTTTAGGGACTTCTAGCCATCTGCTTCAGCTCATTTTTCAGCTTCATTTTCCTCTTTCTATTTCAACTTTCAAGTTTCTGTGTTTTTCTCACTTCTCTACCTTGTTAATTTGTTTTGGGGCGGTTGTATGCTGTTCGATTACCCCCTCCCATGGGAGTGTATGGATGGAGTGCTATGGAGGGGAAGGCTTTGGAGAGTCTAGTCTATATGACTCTATCATGATAAATAAAAATGTTTCTAAAAATGAATCAAGGGGGTGACATAATTTTTATGATCACCTATTATCTTATTCCTTCAAAGTTTATTAAATCTAAAGTATTGGAAAATAGATGTCTTCCAAAACCCTCTCTTTAAGACTTATGTTGATGATCACAATGATTAAGAATAACTCATTAATGAGATACTACCTCCGTCCCCTTGTTATTATCCCATTGCGGTTTACGATGCTTGACCGACGATAAAGCAAATGGATCCCTGTCCGCACTCAAATTATTTTTAGAAAAAAAATTACATATTCAGAAACTACATTAAAAGCTTTGCAAAGTCACAAAAACCAGAATCAAATTTGATAAAAATTTAATACATAAAGTAAGAGATTAAGAGTGATTTGTGTTGACAAAGTGAATAGGAAATGGGACAATAACAGGGGGACGGAGGGAGTACTGTACTTGTCTATTTGAATTTTGATATTGAGTTGCATTAAACCTTGGAGGCTTGAATCTGCTGTAGTGAATGGGTGATGATTCAAGTTCTTTTGAGATCATAATATTAAAAAGTGGAAGGTTGTCTGTGCTTACTGATTACATTCCCATCTGCTAACAACTGGCCAATTGCTTATTCAATTTGTTGCATCCAAGGTAGGCAAATTCGTGAGGCGCACTTAAGGTGCTAGACTACTCTATCACCTGGGGCACAAGTCGCAAAAGAAGATCTTGTCTAACTCATGTCAAGCCCAGTGTTTAGAAAATACTCGCTCCATCCCATTTTACCTGTCTTACTTTCCTTTTTGGGTTCCAAAATAAGTGTTATATTTCCTTTTTGGAAAGAAATATGTGACCCACGACATTTCAATTTATTATACTATAATCTCAATCACAATTTTTACTTTCTTAACCACTTTATTAATAATTGTGCCAAACCAAAACAAGACACAAAATGGGATAGAGGCTATAACGCACGAAAACTCCAGGAGGGGTGAGTTTCCCTATATCGGAAACGTGAGAAACGATTGAAGCGCGTGTCGAGGCTGCTTTTGATTTTGGGAAAGTTGGAAACACGTTTCCCAAAAAAAGAGTTTCGGAAACGGTCTTCAATCTTAGAGTTTAGTAGGATTAAACCTCTTGTCTTCAACCCTAGTGTTCATCACTTCGTCAGCTGCAACGTCTTGGTCAGCAGGTCGTTGTCTTTAGCAGTTTTCGATAACTCTCAGACTCTTGAATCGTTTCCCTTTTTCTGCGAACCGGTCTGTTGCTTTACCTCTGCTCTTCTCCGCTTCTCGGTCGGTAATAGAATACAACACAGCTGTATAATATATTGGGTAATGGCTATACAATTTTGAGCTTGTAAATATTTGGGTGTAGATTGCCAGATTAGTGGGTGTAGATTGCCAGATAAGTGGGTGTAGATTAAAAGCTTATAGCCCATAACCCTATTATTGATGTTGTGTTTTTTGTTTTTGTTATGAATTATGGATTAATATTTGAATAATTTTATAGTTCAATATGATGAGTTATTATTACGGAGTACTTTTTAGGATGAAATAATCTTGTGTGGCATGTTTGTACGTACGTACGTATGTGTATACATGTGTGTGTGTATACACATATATAAACTTTATAGAATAAATCCTATATTTTTTATATTCACGCGTTTCCCCCACGTTTCGTTTCTGTAATTTTGGAAAATGGCGTTTCCGACATTTCCCTTTTCCCGTTTCCGTGCTACTTAGGCGGTAAATACATAATAAATGTAACCAAGAATATAATATTATTCTGGGTAGAAGATGTAAAGGATGAGTGCATTAACAATGATATCTAAACTTATTCTTTCTAGAATTATCTAACACGGATATTCAACTTAATATTGAACTAAATGCACTACACTAGTCGCGATTCACACAAATAGAACACTAATTTAGAAGCCATACCTTGAGTTTTAAGTAATAGAACCAAAATTGAAACACAGTTAGATTCTAGCCCAATTATCAAATGCAAGGATCATCCATGAATCATCATTTTAAAGAGCAGTCTGCACTCTGCAGTCCATATCCTATCAGCAGTATTTGTTTCAGTGTTCCTTGCAGCATTTGAAGTTCCACTGCCTTCTACATACTATAAAGTACAATCAATAGACAAAATTTTAAAATATAAAACATGTTAGAAAAAGAAACAAACAAGAAAAAGGAAAAAGCTCGGTAGAAGAAAGAATGTAATCCAGAAAATGGAAATGACAGAAGAAAACCAGAGATAAAGATATGGACTTTTAAATAAAATGATAGAAATAAACAATGAATAGTAGGTTACCCTCTGTGTGATGTGTGGGGTGTGAGTTGAACACGAGAATGCCAGAAGAATGCCAGTATGGCACGATAAAGGTCTTCCTATGTTTCTGACTTTCTGTGTGCTCCTTAGTACACCAACTGAGTAATGGTTTATTTTACCCCCATTAGTTGAATGGCTATCATAGTTGTCATGATGTTAAGTTGAGCCATGGCGCCAGCCAACCGCCATATTGCCTAGGTGATAAGGCGATCGCAGACTGCTGTTCGTCTGACAAAAAAAAGGCGATGACTTGTTGCCAAAATCACGCCTGGACGACGCTAGGCTCGCCTACTCTTGTTCCGGCGAGGGAACCCGACGAGCACTCCATAGCACCAGGATGCCTAGTCGGTGACTAGGCGACGCCCATGTGATGCCGTGACAAGTATGTGGGCTACATCTTATTATAAATATGGGTTTATTTAAAATAGGCTCAAATCTTATTTGCAAATTGAAAAATTGGTTGACAAGATTTTCCCAGCCCAGATGCATCAGACGTGCGCTTACAGCAACATCATCCAAGATTTAGTCCCAAAAGATTTTGGGGTCGGCTTACATGAATCGATACATGATATCAGAGTAAAAAAGGAATAAAAGATTAGAAATATTAAAAGATAAATAATTACATATTTATGACTAAAATAAAGGTTATTTGCAAAAATGTGACTTCTTATGTATAGTGACTATACCAGCAACTTAGTCATTCTAACTTATATTCAATTTTTACACCCAAGTGACCATGACGTTATAACATAGTAATTATTAGTCATATTTTTGTAAACAAGTTTTATTTGAGTAATATTTTTGATTTTTTTTTAAAAGGATTAGGTAAGATAAAAAAGATAAGATAAAGATAAAGGTAAATATAAGAGGAAGATGAAAATGAAAAGATAAATAGGATAAAAATATATATAAAAATAAAAATATATATATAGAAAAAGGATAAAAGGATGAAGAACATAAGAAAGATAAAGAAGATAAAAAGGTAATAGAAAAACCGGTGGGAAGAGGGACGGTGGTTTCTCTGGCCATGACTAACCTAAACCGCCCTGGGTCCAGGGATGTTTACCATGGGGTGTTTGTCCGGTTGTTTCCCTGACAAAAAATCTAACGCCGATGCCTGCTTGACTTACCACTTTAGTTGATATCCTGGGGAGGTTTGAAGGGACTGCTGCAGTCTGGTAACAGGCTTGCGCTTCTTGCGTTTAAATTGCACCTGACCTGTATTGCTTTTGACTACCTTGGTTACATCTGTTATCACTGATCTTTTTGTAAACAACATCTTGGCTGAAAAAAATCGAAGCTCTTTAAACTTTGATGCCTTCCCCTCAGGAAGTATAGATTTCTTTGATGGTTTGACTAGATAAGTACATGAAAAACTAATATATGCCTCAATGAAATTGGTTGATGTTATATTGGCGCTTTGGGTTCTGCTTTACACTTGGTCCTAATTATAATGGTCTAATGATTTATAACCAATTTTCTGTCCTTGTACTGTCTGGGGATTTGCGTTGGTTTTCCGGAAATGTGAATATTTAGTACTCACTACCCTTTTTATTTAGCCAAATTTGACTTTTCGAGTCAATGATGCTAAACTTTGGTCGATTATATATTTATACACGGTAGTATTGATAATATGAAAATGACATGAGAATGTTCTTTGTTAAAAATATTATCATTAAAGTATAAATTTATCAAGTTTCACATAAATATATATTAGTTAAAAATCTTAAAATAATGGATCAAAGTTTACCATCTTTGATTGCAAAAGTTAAAGATCCCTAAATAAAAAGGGACAGAGGTCACGGATGTAGTATTGAATTTTGTATTAGTAAAAAATATAATAATAAAAAAATCTCCATTTTTCCATATAAAGAACAGTAAGATATAAATATATAAAGTATAAAACAAAGAAAGAGTGTACAATGCAATGGAGTGTGGATGTGACTGCAATAGATTCTATTTATTGTGTCCACTTTTAATATGCAGGATTTTTGTATTTTGGTGCATGTAATTTTAGAAAATGTGAACTTGTTGTTGTTGGAGTGCTAACCCCCCTGTCTGCCTGTATTTCTAAAGTTAAATTGGTTTTGCTTTAAAGTCATTTCACACTCCATTATGCTGTAGTCCTAACTTATTTTCACTAATTTATAGAGGTTACCCCAGCATTGCCAATGTCTCACGAAATGCCAAATTACTTTGGACGGGATGATGACCGCGGCATGCCTCAGCTAAAGGATACACAGACAATTGGATCAGCATATGATCGTTATCTTCAAAGTTCGGTAATCCCAATCACTCACTATTGCATTATCTTTCCTTATTTGCACCTATTGTTGTGCTTAATATTTATGGTGTTGTCTTGTATAGCATGCGCCTTCTTTCTCTACTGGAGAGGCTAGTAACTACAAAGGAGCTGGGTTTAGAAGAGCAGAAGGAGGTGACGTCATGACAGCACATGATCCTGTTGCAATGGCTCACGGTGCTTTTGGACCAGAACTCGTAACTAATGGTAGAAGTATGAAATATGCTGGCCATATGCCGATGGATGCAATGGGGAGACCTCGTGATACACTACCCTTGCCTCCTGATGCGTCAAACACAATATATGTTGAGGGACTTCCTCCTGACTGCACTAGAAGAGAAGTTGCACGTATCCTTTTACATACTTCAAAGGAAGGAACAGACGCCTATTTTTACCTGTTGCAGTAGCATTTGTTTCTTAACCCCCTACTGTAGATATATTTCGCCCATTTGTTGGCTACAAAGAAGTCAGACTGGTTAAGAAGGAGTCCAAACATGTACGTCGCTCATCATTTTCTTTCTTTGCACTCTATGTAATTATTTTGGTGAGGAGAAGAGGCGGGGAAGAAGAGGGAGAGGAAGATCCAAATAGACGTGGATTAGAGGAGTCAGGAGTGATATGCTTCTTCTTGGGTTGGATGAGAGTATGTTTTTGGGGAGAGCAAAGTGGAAGGTGGGTTTTCGTGTGGCAGAGTGATCTCTTATAATATTTTTTCCTTTATCTTCTTTATCTTTCTTATGTTTTTTATCCTTTTATCTTTTTATTATATACTCCCTCCGTCCCGAATTGAATTGCAAAAGTTGACCGGCACAAGGATGAAGAAAGGATAGAATTTGATATTTACTTTGCTATTTTTCCCTTCTTCGTACAAAGTACTCCACAGTAAACAAAACAAAAATTGGGAAATAAAAATTTGCAGAGCAATTATAATATTTGTCAGGCGTGCATACTGTACACCCTTCTTCCTCTATGGTTATCGGAGAAAAGGGAAACAGGAGTCGGAGCTGGATGTTGGCATCTGGTCTTTGTCCAACTACAACCTTTCCAGTGCTCGATAGAGACCTCACGCCTTCAACCGACTGACCGTTGTCCGCTTGCGCTTCAATGGTTTGACTTGCTTCGCAAGCACCGGTTCAACGAGGACGACGACAACTCATCTGGTTAGACCCACTTCAACGACGACCTTCCTCCAGGATTGTCGGATCTGTGGATTTTTCTGGTAGTGAACCTTGGGAAGAGCCGTTACAGATGGATCTGGCAAGGGAGGTTTGGGGTCGACTCTTCCCCTAAGCCGGAGCTGATGGACTAAGCTGGAACCCTCTTCTTTTGTCTGGCTTCATCTTCAAAAGGGAAAAAAAATCTTACCATGGAGGAGGTGGGAGACTGCATTTTACAGAGACGATGTTGTTTCCGATGGGAATATTAGGAGGGAGTGGGTGAAAGTGATGGGTGATAAAAAAATGGGTTGTAGTCATCATCCGTATATTTTGGATGGGTGTGGCGGAAGGTTAGAAGGGTGAGAAGAAGGGCAAACTTGTCAATTTATTCATATTTGTATACTTAAAAAGGAAAGTGGAAAATCAATTCGGGACAACACACAACGTGAAGGACATGTTTACTTGACAGGTTACTAAACGGTGCTTATTAAGACTCGCGTTAATAAGCGACACATAAAATAAGCAGTCTTTGTTAGAGACCTAACTAGTTTCAGAGTAATTCAAGAAAATAGATGAAGAAGAGAAGAATTGCGTAACAATGGCAGTATTCGTATAACAGAAAAGAGAGAGAATTACAAGAGGCAGTTTAAAGAGAGCCACTCTCCAAGTCCCAAGTCCCAGCCCAAATGAAACAATACAAGCCTGCCTTATTCTGTTATTAGCTATCTATTTATAGAACCCCCCTTTCCGTTTCCCCACATACAATTCCAGCTACTTCTTATTTCTTCTAACATACACTTTGTCAAAATAGCTAATATTATTATTAAATGGCTGGCTATCAGTGGCTCTAACATCACTCCCCCCGGGACAACCACCTTGTCCTCAAGGTGGGTCATAGGAGACAATCCTAACGAACAGCTTCTTTCTCATTTTTGCACCTCTTCCTTGCAAATTCCCATTGTTTTCTTTACTGTTATTCAATGCAGGAACCTCCAAAATCACATTTGTTATTTCAGCATAAGCATCCATCACCTCCTTTCCAATATATTGAATGATAAAACACCTTTCAGATACTCCTTCAAGATTTTGCAGCCCATACCCCTTGTTTTCACTATTATACCACTCCAGTTTAGCATCCTTCCATCCCTGAAACTGTTGGTTCAAACCTTGCATACCAAAAAAATAAGCATGGGTCTCCTGTACCACTGGACCAGTCCTACTCTTACCCTTAAGCTCACTAAGTTTTCCAAATGTAAGTTTGGTCCCATCAGATGAAACATGGGGATCTAAAATAGGCAACGCTGGTGTACTGGCCATGTGCAACAGTTCAATCATCAAGAACATTTCAGCATAACCATCAGTAGTGTAACCCACCTTTTTCTTCCAATTTCCAGTCATACTTACTTCCAGTTTGTTTTCAGTTACTGCAGTGCTGAACAAACAGCACCCCTCTCCATGCTCTTGCATAGTCTTGATGATGGATTTGAAAGGAGCTTGATTTCTGCTGAGGTTGGTATCTCCCTGAAGCTTCATTACTTTGCCCTTTTCCTTCCGTTTGATAGTCAGCTGAGTGAAATTAAATTCAACATTTCCCAAGCCTGCTAACCATTCCAGCCCCAAAACCATCTCATTTTCCCCCAATTCTAAGACATAAAAGTCTTGAATGATGGTAGTTTGCTGTATGTTAAGACAAACAGCTTCACATCTCCCATTGTTTCTGAATATGTCTACATTTCCTATCTTCACCTTGAATTCTGGAATCTGGAAGATAAGTAGGCCTGCTGCTTGAACCACCTTAGGAGATACTACCTCCGTCCCCCTAAGTTTGGGACAAAGGGGTGTGGTGTGGTTTTTAAGAAAAAGTAGAATTGTGTGGTTGATATTGAATTGATAAAGTGTGAATAAAGTAAGAATGAATTCTAACCACTCAAATATTACCAAATATGGTATGAGACAAACTTAGTGGGACAGACGAAAATGGTAAAACGAGACAAACTTAGGGGGACGGAGGGAGTATAAAATTGTGGGTGGCCCCACAATCAATCAAAATGATGATGGTTTTATCTCCTTTTTCACTCCTTAACTTTCCTTTCACCTTTAAAGTCTTAGGAGTTGTGATCCCTTCCTTACTCATGAGAGATAAATGCATATTAGAGGTGTCAATTTCCTGCACTGGTGAAACAGGTTCTATAGCATTACTCTCCAATTCATCTTCCTCCTCAGATTCATCTAACATGATGATCTGAAAAATTTTCATCTTACAGATATGGTCTTTGCCCATTTTTCACCACACTTAAAACAGAGACCTCTTCTGCTCAAATCCTGTAACTCAGATTGTGATAACCTGTGTGTACCCAATATTCCAGATTCCTTATTTCCTGTTTCCAACATTTTCTTTTCCATGGTAGGTTTCCCTTGAGTGGGCTTGTAATTCAGACTGCTCTTCCATTTATTTTCATCCATCCATTTGTGATTCTGCACTGAAGAATACCCCTTATCTTTCATTCCTCTTCTATCCTCTTCCTTGTTCCTGGCAGATTTCAGAGTCTGGTTCCTTTCTTCCACAAGCAAAGCCCTATCCATCAACTCCGCAAGAGTTCTGACTGGATTTAACTTTAACCCAGCTTTTATTTCATCTTTCAAACCCTTCATAAAGATCCCCTTGAGTATTTTCAGATCAGTCTCTTTTAAGGGAGCCACCATCAACTCAAAGTGTTCCCTATACTCCATCACACTACCTGTCTGTTTTACGCTCAATAGTGAACCATAAGGGTCATGTACCAAACCAGGTTGAAATCTACGAGTTTAGGCATTTTTGAGTGATTCCCAGCTTCTCACCTCAGCGTGTTCTTCCCACCACTGAAACCAGTTAAGAGCTTTTCCTTCCATAGCTAGAGTAATCAAGTCTACTTTATCATCTTCTTCTATATAGTTCATTTTCAAGAAACGCTCAGCCTTAACTATCCATCCATACACATCATGTCCATTGAAAAGTGGTAAATCCACTTTCCTTCCAGACTTCTCCATCCATTTATTGTAATCCTCATTACGTCTAGAAGATGAAGAATGATGATTACCTGAGGAAGACGATGACTCGCCACTGCCATTTTTTTTAATCGTTTTTGACCTTTCTCGAGTTTTACTATCGTTCCGGTTCTGAATCAGTTCCAACAACTCTTCGTGATTTCGCTGGGCCTCTTCGCGATTTCGCTGAACTAATTCGCGCCTATCTTCACGCTCGCGGTCGCGATCGCGTGCCATTTCCATGCGAGTCTTCTCCAATTCTCGTATATCTCCAAACGACTTCGTTACAACTCTCGTTCAAGAATTTCCTGTCTGGCTTCCATCTTGATTCTCTTAGATCTTCTCGTATCGACCATATGCAGGTAACCAGGTCGAAGCTCTGGTACCAATGTTAGAGACCTAACTAGTTTCAAAGTAATTCAAGAAAATAGATGAAGAAGAGAAGAATTGCGTAACAATTGCAGTAGTCGTATAACAGAAAAGAGAGAGAATTACAAGAGGCAGTTTAAAGAGAGCCACTCTCCAAGTCCCAAGTCCCAGCCCAAATGAAACAATACAAGCCTGCCTTATTCTGTTATTAGCTATCTATTTATAGAACCCCCCTTGCCGTTTCCCCACATACAATTCCAGCTACTTCTTATTTCTTCTAGCATACACTTTGTAAGCTCTAACAGTGGCTCTAACAGTCTTGTAAGCTCATGTTTACTTCACCCACAAGACTCATGTTTACTCAAAGGATTAAAACACCGTTTAACTTTAAAATGTCCAAAATAACCATATACATATATAGACACACAAACATTCATGAACACATGTATATAATATAATTTGTGGGGGTCACTTCGTACGTGTACCGATACCCCTAACCCCTACCATACTCATAGGGGTAGGTGGTAGGGGGTAAAGGGGTAAGGAAGGGTTACACGTGTTGTGGGGGTGGAGTGAGATTAGGGGTATGGTCGGGGGTAGGGTAGGATCGGGTGGGGTCGGGTTGAGGTAGGGGAAGGTGGTAGGGGTAAGGATATGGGGTGGGGGGTATGGTCGGGGGTAAGGTAGGTGGGGTCGAGGGTGGGGTAGGGGAAGGTGGTAGGGGGTAAAGGGGTAGGGTAGGGGGTTGGGGTGGGGGTGGGGATAAGGGGTATGGGTAAGGGGTAGGGTAGGCTAAGGTAGGATGGGTAAGGGTGATGGGCTAGGGGCGGGGTCGGGGTAAGGTAGGGCTAGGGGGCAGGCGTAGCGGGTAGAGGGGTAACAATAGGGTAAGGGTAAATTCGGAAACTGCAAAAAGCTTAATATGCCGCTTAATTAATACATTAGGGGGTGATATGCTTAGTAAGCAACACTTTAAGCACATCTTTCGGTTAGTAAGTAGCTTTTTAAGCAGCTTGCGTATTTACTTCACCTTTCTTACTAACCTAACTGTGACTTTAGCAGCGAAGTAAACACCTCCTAAATGTAATTATATTTAATTAAGTATAATAAACTGTTATGGACCCGCGTATACGACCTTGTCCAAGGCCTTAATCGAGATCTCAAGAAGAGAAGAGGAGCCACCTGAGACCTTCAGATCAATATTGTTAGTTTCAGATTATTGAACGTGATGAAGAATAATTATGTAAGAGTCTTAATGTGAAATTAATCGGTGCCCGACCTAGTCAAGACACATCAAAATTAATTCTTCCCAAAAGTACTTTATTAATTAGTAATTATTTAGTACTAATCCCTTTAAATAGTAAGCATATTAATAATAGGAAGTTTCCTAACTGAATAAGGAAATAACTTTGAATCTGAAATAACTAGAATGCTGCCAACTTTCCTTAGCATCCTGGTTAGTCACATAAACCACCTTGATCTTTCCTGATTGGCCCAACTAAATTTTCTAAATCTTCTTGGCCACGCCCTCGTTGATATACTTGTCCATGGAATGGATCCATAACATCACCCCCTGTTAATTAGAAGCTTGTCCTCAAGCTTGAAGTCAGGAAATGTGGATTGGAATGCTTCCTGCTGCGGATAACTGCAGCTAGCTGAAGAGCGGAACAAGGGTCGTCCAATGGTGGTAAATCTCTTATATATTGTGGAACAGGGCCGTGATGGGGTTTGAGCAGGGACACATGAAAAACATTGTGAATACGACAATCTGCCGATAAGATAAGCTGGTAGACAGTTGCCCCAATTCGCGCCTGCACCTGAAATGGCCCATAAAAACGAGGTTAGAGCTTTTGACGGCGCTTGAGTAATGAAACCTGCCGATACGTATGTACCCGGAGCAATACCCAATCCCCTATTTCGAATGCTAGATCACGATGGCCTTTGTCAAACTGTTGCTTCATTCATTGTTGGGCGTGTGTTAACTGATTCCTTGCTGTAGCTAGCTTGATGTCACGATCAATGAACTTCCTTTTGGCCCCTTCTAATGGTGCTGTTCCTAGAGTATGTGCAATGAGTTTGGGTGGGTCACATCCATACACAATACGAAATGGGGTATCAACCAGTGCTGCATGATAAGATGTATTGTAACAGTATTCTGCCCATGGAAGCCAACAAACCCATTCCCAAGGGTAATCACTCGTTAAGCAGCGGAAATACATGCCCTCAGTGCTTTGGCTGTCAGTTTGTGGGTGATAGGCTGAGGCGAAAACTAACTTTGTGCTGGCCAAGCGAAATAATTCTCGCCAAAATGCGCTGATGAAAACTTTATCACGGTCTGATACAATATATTCAGGTAACCCATGAAGACGGAAGATTTC